AAAAGACATAAAACATGCTAACCATTTTTTACCCTCAAAATTAAATAGTAAGTCTCAAAATTTAATTAGCCCACTAATTAAAGGCTAACTGAAAATAATTCAACTCATGATAAAATTAATTCTCTATTGTGTCTCAATTTCTTCCAAAACATGTTTTTACAATCATAACCTGTGTGTGTGTGTGTTTGTGTGCACACTTATGTCCTTTCTACAAATGGCATACAGACCAAGATTTAAACGATCTACCAAAAATCCATTAATTAACTCATTTTAATAAAACTGTCAGTACAGGTTGACCATTACTAATTTGGCATCATTGGGACATGTCATAGAGTGCTGGATTACTCATGATTATGCTATGTTACTCACTTTATTTTTATGTCATAAACTGTTGATGAGACAATGCTGTATAAATCATAAAAGCTTCACACAGACATATTGTGGTCAAGTTTTTTTCAGAAGTTCTACCTTATCTGTTATGGACAACTTATGGGGTTCATACAAGCACTTTCTGTATCCATTGGAACCATGATGGAGGTTAAATGTCAGCAGGTTACAATAAAAATGCACAAAAGACAAATGGAACTGCTTTGGCAGTGTTTGAAAGTGCTCAAAAAAACAGATAATGCAGCAACTAGTGCCACAAAACAATAGTGGCTGGGACATACAGTGATCCAGGAAAACTGAAATTGCTCTCATGGAAAATAGATTAAACCAACTACAATGCAATATCTGGCAAACAAGGACTGTCATGCACACAAAAAAAAAAAAAAGAAAAAGAGAAGATGCCAGTGTATGTATAAATTGTTTGGTGTGTTTTCCAGTTTGCTAGGAATTGCTTAAATTTCAGAGAATATATTGGATAAGCATATGGTAAGTGTAGTGTAGGCAAACATGAACCTTTGTGCCCACAAAAAACTGGAGTATCAAAAAGAAGTTGTTTTTTTTTCCTTTGACACTGCTATTATTTTAACTACATGTTTGAATTACTTTAGGAAGAGGGATGTTCTATGACAATAACATTGATTATGATGATGATTGTAAGCACTTTCAGTCCCACTTCTGGTACCATGTTCCACTGGGCTTAGGGTGGAAAGATACACTATGAGACAGAATGTTTCAATGTTTGTTGTTTTAAAAAGTGATGATTAAAATTGTAATAAAACCTAAACATATGAAAGTGAATTTGTACATTTTCTTTGTTCTTGAGAATTGACAAAAAAAATAATAAACATTATTTATTTATGAAATGAGCCAGAACACTGATGGTAAAATCAATCAGCTAAGTGATTAAACCTATTACTTATATTAATTATATATATATATATATATATATATATAACCTATTACTTATAATTTTCAGACGGTGAGTTAAGACTTACCTCACCAACTGAATATTGCATTGTGCATGAAATTCAGAGTTGTACTACCAGTGAGGAAAAAAGATGTATATTTATCATTAATGTATAATTTATAGCTCTGTTATTTTACACCAAGCTCTATTTTATTAACACCACCACTCAATGTGCAAATATATATATATATATATATATATATATATAGGGAGAGAGAGAGAGTAATGATAAATCTAAGATATTTGTTAGGATATATTCTATAACAATAATAATAATGTTGAATATGAATAATCCCACTTCAGATACTATGTTTCACTGGGCTTAGAGTAGAACGATTAATTATGAGACTGGCTGCTTAATTTCATAATGGTCACTTGGGACTAAACAAATATCAAGAAAGAGCCAAAGAATCAATGTGGTGGTCTAAAATATCCCAGGAGTTGGAGAAATATCTAAAAAAATGCACGTTTTTTAACATACACTATCCAACAAATAAATTAATAATGTTATAGAATATCCCCCTTCCTAAAGTAATTCATTTTCTTTATTAATTTTTTCTGCCTTTTCCAAATTATAAAATAAATAATTAAAAATCAGTTTATTTTGTTTAGAGTCAAAGGGCGATAACTCACTCACTTTATGAAATCAAACAGATATATGATTTTTGCAATAAATAAAAAGGAAAAATTAAAAGTAATACTACTTCCTCGTGGTACATGGCAAAGAATTAGTACAGATATTTCCACTCACCAAGGATATCAATATATTATTGCAATAGATTATTTCTCAAGATATATAAAAATAGCAAAGATCGATCCAGTAACAAGCAACTAGATGTGTTGATGGGAAATGTTTTCCTATTCCTATATTACCCTTGAGACTGTCAAATCCCTTTCCATTTTTGTGTATTGTGTGTGCATGCATGTCCCAGTTAGCTTGCACATGTATATGTACATTCCCTTCCCATATATACATACTGTCTTATAAAAAGGAATCAGCATATACATATATATACAAGAATGTGCGTGTGTGTGTGTGTGCATGTGTTTGTGCATGTGTGTGTGTGTATATATATATATATATATATATATAAATATATGCATGTATATATATGTGTATGCTGACTCCTTTTTATAAGACTGTATGTATATATGGGGAGGGAATGTACATATACGTGTGCAAGCTAACAGTGACACGCATACGCACACAATACACAGAAATGGACCTACCAGATCAAACCTAATGGTTTTATTACCACTTAGGCAGAAATTCACTTTTGCCAACACGTGACATCTGTGTATTTTTATAAAAACATAAAATATACTTTGTGTCCGATGAGCTGGAAAACCAGTGAAACTTAAGTTGCACACCAAAATGTAGGCATATATATATATATATATATATATATATATATATATTATAAGTTGATTTATTTAAAATATGTTTTTTTTCGCTACACAGTTCTAACCATGTTTCAAAAATGGAAGCTAAAGAAACAATATATTACTAGGTTTATATAAAAAAATAAAAGTTTACTAAATCAGTGAAATTAAGTAACTATTTTTGCCGTCATTGTCATAAATTTTACTTAAATAATATTTAAATACAAAAAAAAAAATTTGTAACCTAATATACATACTTATACTTGATGTAAAAATAATTCTACATACTATAAGGGATTCTAATACATTTAATTGTTCTTAAAAAATATAGTATAATAAAAATTAAAAATTAAAATATTTTAAATCGTAGTTAAATAAAACGTATTCTAACCTAAACACCCCCAAAAATCTTTAAATTTACAAATAGAAAAAAATGCCGTAAGAATTTTTTGCCGTTAACAATAATTTTTTTTAAAAATCCAGACGACATGCATTCGACGGATGTCAGATTTCATTGAGAAATACATCCCTACCCCTTACCAAAACGTAACTAAAAAACGGATACAATAATACAGACATAATGAACACCCAGACACCCCTTGTCCAGTTGAAGTAGATTTATCTGTAACTTTGGAAATGTGAATTATGATTTTAGCTGTGTCTTTAAAACCCAGTAATTTTAAAAGTTACTCCAAAATTCGCTTGAGGATGAAATGGAACTAATGTCTTTAATTTAATTACAAAATTAAATTCGTAGCTTTTAGCTTCCATTTTTGAAACATGGTTAGAACTGTGTAGCGAAAAAAAAACATATTTTAAATAAATCAATTTATAATATTAATGCTCTGTAAATTTACATTGAGCACTATTTTGTAAAAATAAAATATCTATAAGAACACCAGATTTATATATCTTACTGTTATATATATATATATATATATATATATATATATATATATATATATATTCAGCTGTTGGCAGGATGATAGCATCCATAAACCTCCATTGTAATATTGTGAACATCCTAATCTTTTCAATGGTTGTATAGTGTGTACTTTACCAGGGCACCATACACAGTGTCTCAAAGTGAGCAGTTCTCTGCTAACTAGAGAATTCTCTCCTTACCAAATTATAAATTAAGACTTAAGCAAACACTAGACAGAAGGAGGAAAGAACAACAGAACAAAAATCTTACTATTGCCTGCCTTGCAGTCCATATTGGATGTCCTGGAAATGTAATGTTTAATGGATCAGAAAGTAAATTCAGCATGCTAAGTTCAACTTCTGGCCAAGTCCGTTACATTCACTTTCGCACAAATACTCTTGGGAAAGATATAAATCCATCTCTTCTTCTCTCAGTTATGAGTTAAATAGCAGAACAGATGAGCACTATTTACATTATTCAGACTATTGTCCTCATCTTTGTCGCTATATTTATTACAACGTTTTGGCATTTGTATGCTCCTGCCTTTTTCAGGTGGTTGGAATGTCGAACTGAACCCTTTATTTTGCTCACTGGGGTAGACTGTTCTAGTTCCACGTGCTATATTTAATGGATGTCAGTTATCAGTTATCTCCTGTTAATTCCCCTCTCCAAGTTCTCCACTGCCTCAGGACCCAAAGAGTGTGAGCTCAATACCCGGTTAAGGCAGTGGAGAACTTTCAGAGGAAAATTAACAGGAGATAACTGATAACTGACATCCATTAAACATGGCACGTGGAACTAGAACAGTCTACCTCAGTGAGCAAAATAGAGGGTTTAGTTCGACATTCCAAACACCTGAAGAAGGCCAGAGTGTACAATGGCCAAAACGTTGTAATAAATATGGTGACAAAGATGAGGACAATAGTCTGAATAATGTAAATAGTGTACATAATACCTCATCTCAGAAATATAGACAGATACAGAACAGATGAGGTCGGCAACCAGTCTAGGAGAAGGTCAATTCTGAATTGTGTTCTTATTAAACTGGAAAAAAACCTTAAAAGTCAGTCTATTGCAAAAATTATATACAAGAGAACTATTACTTTGTGAAAGAGACTCCAAAGAGGATGCTTTCCTCTGACCCTTACAATCTTAACATTTTCAAGTGTAGGTTCAATCATTACCTACCTGACATATCCTCACAAAATGCACCCCCCTTCCACCTTCCCCTTCCTTTATGCCCTTACAACAGTCTCATTCAGTAAGTTTCATTGAGTTGCTTTTGGGCCTTGTATTGATTGAAGTAAAGTAAAAATAAAAGAGAGTGATGTAACTCACCTTGACATAGTCTTCAATCAGCTTCTTTCCTAAATTCACATTAAATTCTTCAATAGTGCCCCATTTGAAATCTTCTATTTTGTAATCATCATTGAATTCATAAGTCCATTCAGTCGTTCTTGTCTGCTGAGAGCATTTGGGGCAAAACTCTCGCTGCACCTTGAACATTGTCTGGGAAACAAATTGGTCTAGAAGTTGTTCGCACTGAGGGCATTCTTCTGCAGCCACTGACATGAATTTCTGACAGGAATGACACATATTTTCTTCTTCCAGTTTTTTCACTGTTCGAGCAATCAGTTCATCCACGTAATCAGTGGCTGATTGCTCAATATATTGTTCAAGAGAAGTGGGTGACATGGATAAGTCATTAAAAGTCTCTGAAAGCAGAGAGAGAAAAAAAAAGAAGAAAGAAAAGTCATCTTCATTTTAGTCTCTCTTCATCACAATTTCTTTTCTTTTACATTATTTTTCACTCAATACGACGTCCAAGAGCCACTCAAGGTAGAGAGATACTGAATAAGGTTGTTTTTTTTTCAGATATAAAAGGAAGAGGCTAGAGTTGTAAATTATGAGGATAAATAGGATAGATAAATCAGTTGTTAAAAGAGAGTTTCACACAGTGTGAGTGAAGAAACTGTTAACATAGAACTTATGGTTACATCTAGCCATTTCAACAGTAAAATTATGAGACCTAACTGACAATCTAGCAGTGTGATTAAATTCATAAAGTCTAAGTACCAAAGAGGAAAGCACATCAGAACAATTACCATGAAAATATTTATAGAAAAGACAAAGGGAAGCTACATTATGGCAGTGGGAATGTGACTGAAGCCGAGATGCCAGGTCATTAACACCAATAACATTGCATTTTCTTTGAATTTTATCAAGTGTATCTAAATACATAGCAGAAGCACCAGATAAGATTTTATTACAGATTAAGGCAGGGAACACCAACAAACATTGATGTACTTGCAGGCCACCCACAGTCGATATCACAAAGACATTGTGAACTTTGAACTTTTGTTAATGGATGCATAGTATGCTATACGAGAGCTACATAAAGTCTTGAATTCAGAGTTGTCATTCTCCTCCTAGACTGTTTGCCAACCATGGCTAGAGAACCCAACCTGTCTTGCTATTTAATCCATAGCTGGGGGAAGAGAGGGGTTTATACTTTTCCTAAGGGTATTTGTTCCAAAGTGAAGTTTGTGTTTAATTGATACTCTTGAGAAAGGCATGAAACCACTTCTTCCCTGCTTTAGTTGAGAACCAGTCTAGACAACCCTGGATTCGAACCTGTGAAAGCAACGGTAAACCACTACTACACAATTATTTCCTAAGAACAATTATTTCAGTGCACAGAGAGATTAATTGATTAATAAAGGAAGCTATGAAGAGCCGTAATCGTTTGCGTCATGAAGAGAGAACTGTTACAATCTTCATTTTAAGAGTTGGCTCAAACGTATTTTTTATTTTATGAATTACGATTAAACAACGATATAACTAAAGAAGTAACATCTAGAAAAAGAAATATGTATTACTGTAAAAAATATTTTACATCTTACCTGCCATCTTTATTGATAGTTGCTATAGTAACACGTTTTCCAGTGAACCAATCAGAATCTCTGTAATAAATTTAGTCGGAAAAAGACGTGTTTGTAAGCTACTTCCTGATTGGTTCGATTTTCTTGGCATGCGTAAGTTAAATAATAGTAATGGCGGGTGAAATCGAAAGCTGTGTCGAAGAAACGTCGTGTGGAGTCAGTTTAAGGCAGATTCGAGATCGTGTTCGGCAATATATTGATAAGGTAGGTGTGCAAGTGTATTTTAGGAAAGTTTCGAATATATATAAACACCATTTTAACGTCTTACTCACTGTCGTGTATATTCCTTTTAGTATATTTCTAATTTGATTTGTCAACAACATTGATATTGCAATGCAAATAAAGTTATGTCAAATTTGTTCGTATAATTTTTTGGTTTGGTTTTTATTGTTAAAAGTAAAATGCTTTTAAAAACAATTGACAGCGTTATTTTATTTTTAATATAACTTATGTGATCACTAGTATTAACAACTTAAATTACATCAAGCAAAATAGCTTTTTTTTAGTTTTAAGTAGTTTTAGTTTGATTTTTTTTTTTTCGTTTTTTAACTTTTTTTACCAATCTTTTGAAATGGGGCAACTGCAAACAAAACTTAAAGAAAAGCTTATTAATGTTGTTATCGTCTATAATTTCGCTGTATCGATCTTGTTTTTCTTTTGATAAGTAAAATTCAATATTCTATTCATTTATAATTCAAAAAGCTTGCTAAGTTTTTGTACGTTAATTTGGTAAAATTTTTAATTATAAAATTTTAAATTTTTTTTAAAATTTTATTTTTGATAAACAGTGAGTAGTAGTACAGTACTTAGTTTCCACTTCTTTCGCTTTTCACGATTTCAATTCCAGAAATAAACAATTCATTATTAGTTTTATATCCCAAAATCCAAATGTGGCGATGCTAGCAATTCATATATTTCAAAAAGAAAACATAAAAATTCATCCTTTTTTTTTTTTTTTTTTTAAATTTTCATTTTAACACCCGAGCGCTAATATCCCTTCAAATTTTTCCAAAATAGTCTTATTTCCTTGCAAATGTACATGCTGAACTCAAATCAACAATTAGATATTGAAGAAACCTACCTTTTTGGATGTTAACGACCCGAAAAAAATCGGACTTTTTCCTGGTATTTCGTCAGCCATTACCGGCTTATTGATAAGTAATTCAGTGCTAAATTTTGTTTGTGGACGTATAGAATTTGGGCCTATTTATTTCCTTCACAGCAATTCCTTGTAGCTAAGTTTCAAATTAGGGTTAGGTGTTTTTTGTTTTTTTTTTGTTATGTTTTTATTTATTATTTTTTTAAGAAGAAAATTAACTTTCAAATTAGGGTTAGGTGTTTTTTTTCTTTTGTTATTCTTTTATTTGTCGATGTTTATTTGAAAGTTAACTTTCTTCTTAAATTAAGTACAAAAAAAAAAAAAAATCACTTTACGGAAGCGCATACTAATTTCTGAAAGAAAATAGTTTAGCAGTGAATGGTGCTCGGGTGTTAAAATGAATATTTATTTTTTTTTTTTTTTTTTTTTTTAAATAATAAAAAAGTGATAGGTTCCCAACTTAATGAAAGAAAAAAAAATCATATGCTGAGATTGCTAAGTCCTACGTTAAGAACGAATCATCTATCCATTGTTTAATTATTGTTATGTGTTCTATTTTTTTATTATTAAATTTGTTAATGTGCCAAAATTTTAATTTAAATTTTATCGTAAGTTGGTATGGGAAAAAGCTGGGTTCGGTACTGTACAAGGTCTCAGGGATCTTTTGGGGCTACACTACAACAATCTCTTCTTGTTCAGTAATGAGGTACCTCACCTGGATAAACAGAGATTACTGTGGTGTAGTTTATAAACAGGACTTGATTATGGCCTTTTGGGACTCCTCAGCTAATGAAATTATGGGATCACCCTCTCTAACTCGCTTTCACCCGTCTTGGATAGTTTTTACTTTTTTTTTTTTTTACGAGCTTGACATAAGCTTTTTGTTTGTCAATAAAAATATGCTTTCAAATTATCACATTTCAACACAACCGTAAAAAAAAAAAAAAAAAAAATTATAGCCAGCATTATAACTGTAAAACAAAAAAATATCGTCATATTGATATTTAGTAATTTATGAAACTATTTAGAAGTTGTAACATTTAGAAAATTAAAATCACTGCTTTATAAAAGATAAAAAAAAGTTAATTTGCACTAAGATGAAACTTGAAACACAAGCTAAAAAACATTCTTTTCTTTGTTTCCTACAAAGTCAAATAAATATGAGTTTGTCACATTGAGTGATATCATTTCAGCTTATAAAACTATTTTTAGAAAATTAAAATCATTGCTTTGTAAAAGCTTCAATGGCCCTAGACCAGTGGTTCTCAAATGGTGAACCCTGGAAGATGTCTAGGTATACCCTGGCATTCCAGAGAAATAGGTGTCCAAATATAAGAAATAATATAGTGAAGAAAATGGCGACTTACCTCGTCAAACCAAGCGACAGCACGTCGTGTGTATTCTCCAACGGAAAATGTGGCGAAAAAGAAAATTACTTACCAAACAAAAGTGCACGTATTCCGCATGAAGATGGAATATTTGAATTAAAAAATAAGTCCGTCACAGGAGTTACTATAAAATTATTTTGATATGCAAATTACTGAACATCTTCTCCCAGCTGTCGACAAATGGAAAAAAAATGCTCGGCCAATAAAAGCAGTTGGTGTTCTCAAATTGGGAGGAAGAAATTCAGGTATTTTGGCTACCGCGTTTGTTGGAGAGTGAGTTATTTTTCTGACTGGTTGCAGGCATTGTGATTTGTGAGATAGTACTTGTGAATCGAGTTTTCAGCATTTCTTTCTGCCCCCAATGTTCAAGTCTGAACTTAGTGATTTATTCTCTGTGACATGGAAATAATCTGCGACAAACATTTCCTTTGCAATTCCAGATCGCTTACAAGCTATTTCGGCACTATGACGAACAAGACATTTGACGTCAAGTTGATACCAGAGTTTGATGGTTCAGTGACCAGACAAGCATTGATTGAAAAGACAGAACTTGTTTGTGTGCTGTGTGGCATTAAAAAGGTTGAACGTGTTCTTCCTTTGAGGTTGATGGGTGGAGCATTTGCTGTTTACAGCTGTTAAACTCAGAACAAAAATCAAATGTTGAGCAGATAAAACGAGCCCTGCAGATTGCCTTTGCACCAGATTGTTTCTTGGCTTACGAGCAATTCGCTGAACGTCACGTCAACTGCGCCTGGACAAGTCCGTTGACGTGTTTCTAGTTCACTTGAAGAAGCTAGCTGGTCTATTTGGCGGGATAGTGGAGCAAGGATTAGCATGTGGGTTCATAGCAGGGTTACCAGCACACGTCAAGCAACTACTGCGCGTGTCTTCCAGCATGGAAGACATGAATACAAACCAACTGTTGGACCGAGCTCAGGCCATAATGAAAGATCAAATTGCAACTGAGGGAATGGTTGCGGCTACCATTTCACCAGGTGGAGCTGATAAACATCCAAATGTTAAATGTCAGGAGAGTATACAATGTTATCGATGCTCTGGGTGGAATCACCTTGCCAGGGACTGCTCGGTTTGACGAGAAGATGCCCGTCAGTCACACACAACAATGCGTTGCTTCCGGTGTCAAGAAGTAGGCCACATTGCTTCATTGTGTCCAGGGAAAAGGAGACAAGACATCAGCGCCGGTCTCTTCCATAAGCGACTTATGAATGAAGCACTTGCCGTCTTGGGTATTTACATGAATGGAATTAAGAGGGTGGCACTGGTGGACACTGGCTGCTCACAGACACTCGTGAGTAAGTCAGCCTGTCAATCCTGGTGGTTGACAGAGGTAAACTTACTCACTGTAAATGGAAATACTCTCAAATGTTGTGGAGATGGAAGTATTAAACTTGACATGGATGACACAACCCCCCTCAAAATCGATGTCTTGGTAGTGGATGGAGAGCTACTGGGTTTTGACTTGTTGTTTGGATTCGATGCCATTAAAAAGTTGGGCAGACTCCAAATAACACAGTGTGGCAATGTACGGTTTCCCAAGCGTGGGAAATTGGTCCTCCAAAAGGTTTAATTCCGTTGATGGCGGTGGTGCAGAAAAACAAAAATAAAGTGTGGCCAGTATTAGACTATCGCGAGCTGAATGAGTGTCTCGACACACACACAGCCAATGCTGACGTGTGCACAGAAACTGAGGGAGTGGTGTAAAAAAGGACCGGATGTTGCTATCCTTGACCTACGGCAGGCCTATTTACAAGTACATATCCATAAGTCACTTTGGCCCTTTTAAACTGTAATCTTCAAGGGGCGAAGATATTGCTTGACCTGAATGGGTTTCGGGTTGAATGTTGCACCAGCCATAATGAAGGCCATTGTGGACGCTGCGTTGGCGAAAGATGAGTCAGTTCGACGGGCAACCTCATCATATATTGATGATATTTATGTTGACGAGAGCATGATTTCAGCAGTTCGCGTGAAAGAGCACTTGGCTGCGTTTGGTTTGACCTGTAAGGATCTGGAGTGGTTACGAGATGGCACACATGTGCTGGGTTTGTATGTCGCGGAAGATAACAACACGCTTAAGTAGACATGTGAAAATGGCATTCCATCAGTTCCTGGGGTCCTGACATGACGTAATGTCTTCTCATGGTGTGGAAAACTGGTGGGTCACGTTCCTGTGTGTGGGTGGCTTCGTGTTGCTGCATCATTTGTAAAATGCAGGACACGTCTGGTTGGGACAACGGTGACAGATGCCCCTTAAGAACATGATTGGGACATAGCAGATGCAGACAGATGCTCCCCTTAAGAACATGATTGATGACATAATATGCCAGAATGACCCTGCACACGGTAAGTGGTGTACAAGTGGACACGCTTATGAGGTATGGGTTGATGCAAGTTCTCTCGCCACAGAGGTTTCGTTGTAGGTTGACGGAAACGTTCTAGAACATGCATGTTGGCTGTGACCTGTGAAGGACGTCCAACATATCAATTTATCAGAATTGGATGCTATTCTGAAGGGCATCAATTTAGCATTAGCACCTCTTCACGGACTTCGCATGTGCACTGGTGGGTATCAAACATGCTCACTGGCAAAGTCAGAATACGAACTAAGGCGGCAAGTGAGATGCTGATCCAGAGGCGTTTGAGTACTCTTGAAAAGCTGATTCAAGAGTATAACTTATTGATCACAATAAGTTTGG